TTTGGGAGAGTCGAGAGAAACGGCCATTCCTGTTTGGCATTGGCAGTATCAGCAATGATGGCAAATTAAATTGAGATGAGGTATGACTTACAATCAAAGCTTTCTCTACTGGCGAGGCATTCAACAACTTCTTTTGCTTATCCTTTTGCTTGTTTTTCTGCTGGGTTTTGGCTGCAGAGGTAATGTTTTCAAGTGAATACTGATTCAATAGTAAGCTACCTTCCATGAGTATGCACTCAAAAAAATTACTTACTTCTTCCGATGGTTTTAGCCTCTTGGGGTTAGGCACTTCCTGTATCAAAGAAGTGTTAGTAAGCTCATCAGAGTTGCTACAGACAACTAAGTACTTACTCGATCAGAAGTTTGAGAGGTCACACGTTTGGATTTGCGAGTGCCACGAGCCAATTCCTTGATATTGTCGGTCTGGTTGACTTGAGAAACTTTCTGAGCACATGTTGTTCTTGGTGACTGAATCTCACTCTGTGAAGCGAGCGGTGATTCATCTCGAGTATGCGGCTGTTGATTAGTTTGATGGTTGTGATCTTCACTTCCATCATTTGAGGTGACACGTTGGTTGGGTTGTGGATTCGTATCCACTGAGGGTCCATGATTGATCCTTGAGTTGGAATCCTGGACAGATGATACTTCGGCATTGGTTTTATTCATATCCGCTGAGGAAGCTTGATCGTTCTTTGATGTGGAATCATGGACTGAGGATCCTTCGGAATTGGGCGAAGCAGCCTCGGTATTATTCGTATCCGCCGAGGGTCCCTGATTGATCTTTGAGGTAGAAGCATGAACAGAGGAGACTTCGGTATCAGGAGAATCAGCCTTGGTATTTTCTGTTCCCCCTTCCTACAAAAGATCCAAGAAATTTTTTTAAATATATAAATATTTGAAAGATTGAAACGAAATAATAACTCGTTTCAATCTTTAAATTAAACTACTAACCTGATTATTTGATGTAGGGTCTATTGACAGAGTCACATCTTCAGTCTTGGGTGATGAGACTGCTATTTTGGCTCGAGTTCCCTTATCCTGGAAGTAGCATGGATAGTTGCAAAGTTCAGCTTCTCTTTCTTTCAAAATCATTACAGAGAAGTTTTGACTAACCTTGACATCTTTACGTTCTTTAGATCCGGATGACTTGGCAACAGATTCAGCTATTTCACAATCCCACATGAATTGTTCCAAGAGAGTTTTTCGATTCTCAGGATCAAGCCTTCCCAAGGCTGTGATGAGATCCTCGTATTCATCAGGGGGGTTAGACTCTGTAAGATCGATATGAATAGTATCGCTCCTTTGCTTTCTTTTCTTGGCGGGTTTGATCGACAAAGGATCAGGAAGTTTGGGTGGGTTGAGATTTGGAATCGGACCGTGATTATGTTTGGCATGCTTGATAATGATTGTCCACATAGTTGTGGTTGATTGATATTCCACATGAACAGCAAATCGACAAGTCGGAATGATGAGTGATGGGTTTTCAGCCTGGGCGAGTTCTTACTTTCGATTTGGGCCTAAGGTACACTTCCACTTAATACGCCGAGGTTTGGTATCGAGGGTTGATATCGCGTAGTGATGGGTAAAAGCAAAGTTCTTCAGGTAAATCTCGGCCTCGGCGCGAGTAGCATAAGACCCACCCCCAGTTGGGCAAGGAAGGTCGTCTAGGTCGTCAAGCTGAGAGCTCGTAGCAGCGTGGGAGGTGGGATTGGGTTGGTTGTTTGAATCGGTAGGTTGATCATCTTGAGGAGGTTCCGTTTGAGTCATCTTGAGTCAATCAATTGATTGATCAAGATCGGGTTGGTGTTTGGTTGAGATGATGAGGAAAAATTCAAAGCAGGGGTGAATCCTCGAAATTCATTTCACCTCAGCTTTCACCAGGACCTTTCACACACGCGTGATAGGTTCACATGTGTGTGATGTATAGGAGGGAATTTACATTCACCCTCATGTGATTACAGGTTACATATAGCCAAATATAAATCGCACAAGTGTGACTCACATGTAGCAACCAATCACCCATGAGTGATTGATAGTCACCCATCTGTGACCTATATTCACCTGTATGTGAATCCCAGTCACATATGGGTGACCCTGGGTCACATATGGGTGACTAGCATTCACTCATAGGTGAATATGGGTCACAGATGGGTGAATATAAGTTACATACGGATGAAAAGTCACTCATATGTGACCCATATTCACCTATGGGTGAATATGGGTCACCCATATGTAACCTGGATTCACCCATGGGTGAATATGGGTCACAGATGGGTGAATCCAAGTTACATACAGATGAAAAGTCACCCATATGTGACCCACATTCACCTGTATGTGAATCCTAGTCACATATGGGTGAATCTAAGTTACTTACAGATGAAAAGTCACCCATTCACCCATATGAATCCAGGTCACATATGGGTGAATGTAGGTTACGTTGGGGTGACTTGCATTCACCCATGGGTGAATCCCAGTCACATATGGGTGAATGTAGGTTACATTTGGGTGACTTGCATTCACCCATGGGTGAATCCCAGTCACATATGGGTGAATGTAGGTTACATTTGGGTGACTTGCATTCACCCATGGGTGAATCCCAGTTACATATGGGTGAATGTAAGTAACCCAAATGTAACCTACAATCACTCATGGGTGAATGAATGTAGGTAACATATGGGTGAATGTAGGCTACACAGGGGGGAACTTTACCTCTGTGAATGTATGTCACACTGATGTGACACCTCAAAGCAACTTATATTGATGTTATAATTCATCACTGTACACCCATAGGTGACTGACAGTCACCCACGTGTGAATGTAATTCACCCGTATGTGACTTACATTCACCCACGTGTGAATGTAATTCACCTATATGTGACTTGAACTCTCCCGTAGGAGACTGCAAGTCGCTCACCAGATCACATTCACCGCGCTGAGCATTGGGATTCACCCTGGTGTGAATGCCGTTGATGAGCGATTTTGACCACATGAGCCTTGTCCATGAGTCTGGAAGTTTGCCCACCGTGTATATATGAAGGAACATTATTTCAAATAATGAAGACTCTCATTATTTGGAAGGAAGAGTACTAGTGTAATTTTCCATCTGCATTCCGGTATTTGTCAAAACATGCTGATTAGCCAATTTCCC